ATTGTTTTTTTCAGCCATGGCCTAAGGGATGGGTTTAAGAACCAGCTGGCTCTGGATACAGCATCACCTTCTTTTTGACATGACACTTCCAAGGCCTGACTAATGCAGCTGCCTTGCTTTCGAGAAAGCACCACACTCATTTCTCTTTCTGGGGTTCTCTTTCTCATTTCTCTTTCTGGGGTTCTCTTTCTCATTTCTCTTTCTGACTGTAGCCTTGTACTGAGCCATCAGCTGCTACACAAACTAGTCTTAGGAGAAAGCAACTCCATGCATTCAAGTCCTTACAAATAGACCAAGAATTTTCTCTCTTTTGGCTAATAACTCCAAATTTACTAAAGAAGTTAAAAATCTAAGAAGTTGAGAATCACAGGCTGTGATATATAATGGACTAAGAGAAATTAAAAGCACCACACTTCACCTTTTATTATGCTAAGTATGTAGTCATTTGTGAAGTTTCAAAACTATGTATTACTTGATTGCATTTGGAACTGTTTTAGTTGGGAGAAGAAAATGAAGGCTCAAGAAACATGTAAACTGGCCACGTTCTGTTTTGCCACATTTGGGAATGTGTTTTACTTATTTATTTATTTATTTAAAAAAATAGGATTATCATTTTACGAATGTCAAAGCTTGAACATTTTTTTTCTGCCCCCATAAAACCTGATTCCCTTCTGCTCTTTCTTATCTTGGTGATTAGTGTACCATCCTCCCAGTTGCTCAAGAGAGAAACTTAAGAGTCATCCTGCATTACTTCTTTCCCATCCCACCACTGCATCCAGTTTGTCCCCAAGCATCTGTGTGGTTCTGAGTGTCTCCCTGTCTGTTCAAATCTGAATCATCATCTTACTAGCCCAGCACCTTTTCTGATTTCTACAACTTGGTCCCTCCCAATTGAAACATATTCAAATTTGTTTGTAATCTTCTTTCTTATGCATAAATCTGAGCATGTTTCTCTCTTCCTGGAGGTTCCTCGATGGCTAGCCATCACCTACTGAGTAAAATCCAATCTACTTTGCAGTGCTGCAGAGAAAGCCCTCCAGGATCTGGCCCTGGCTTCTACATGGCTTTGCCTCCTGCTTTTTTCCTCCTTTCAGCCTTGTAATTTCCCCAAACAAGCCTGTTCTTTCAAATTCATTTGCCTTGGCAACCACTGTTTTTCCACTGTTGCATTTCCACTGGGCAAAGCCTTGCCCCTCTTATTCAACTCTCAAGTCCCCATTGAAACACTGCCTTCTCTATTAAGCCTTTCTTGATCCCAGACAGATGTCAAAGCCTTTTCCCTCAGGTACCCCATTGCATGTGGTTCTTACTTCTAGTATCACAATCTCTATATGTTATGGATTGTATGTGTTCTTTTTCCAAAGTTTAACTCCTTAAGAAAAGGACTATGTTGTCATTTTGATAATCCCAAGCCTAGTACTGTTCTTAGCCTGTATTAGGTGCTTATTAAATTTTGTTTGAATTACTTAACCAGGAGGACATAGTAAATAAAAATAAAATGTATTTTCTAGGGCTTGCTTTATTTCAGTCATAAGCTATGTTTGAGAGGTTGCAAACTACAGCCCACTGGCCAAATCCAGCTTTCCACCTTTTTTTATAAGTGAAGTCTTGTTGGAACACTGCCACACTCATTCATTTATGAATTGTCTATGGCTATTTTCATGCCACAAAAGCAAAATTGAGTAGTTTTGACAGGGACCACATGGCCTATAAAGCCTGAAATACTTACTATCTGGCCTTTTATAGGAAGAGGTAGCTAACCCTTGCTAAATAGAGATAATTGAGCCCATTAGAGCTTACATTTTTAAATGCTTTTTAAAAATAGGTATGTAATTTCATTTTGATACTTTAAATAGCAGTTGGCTGTCTTAGATACCTAAACTTCATAGTTAAAAGTCACAGATTCATTTGGGACTTCCCATTGGGGGGTTCACTGATATTGTACCTCGTGATGCCGTAAGCTTAAAGGGTGTGAGTGAGGGGTAAACCCAAAGCCTGATTCCTAACTCCTAATTGTCTAAACTTGTGCTTAGTTCAGTTATACCAAAAA